ATTTTTACTTATGTTTTAAATTCTCCATAGTAATAAATTTTTTTTTAAGTATATATGTGAGATAGGGAGTGTCTGTCCCACTAAATATATAACATATATATTGGATTTAGTAGAGAAAATCATTTTAGAAGAACAAAAATAAATCTTTTGGATAAAAAAACACCAGGGTTATAAGGGCAGTGAACCATCAGAGAACATGGGGATGAGGAGGCTGCTGAGATTCTGGAAGCCCTCTGAAGGGGAGAGCCTGTGTCAGTCTTCTGTCTCCACTGTCGCTCCAGGTAACTGTGGTCCGGAACTTGGAGGCCTATGGTTTGGACCCATACTCGGTGGCTGCCATCCTCCAGCAGCGATGCCAAGCTAGCACCACCGTCACCCCTGCCCCTGGGGCCAAGGACAGCCTGCAGGTGCAAATCCAGGGAAACCAGGTCCACCACCTCGGCTGGCTGTTGCACGGTGAGCATCCCCTCTGAAGAGGAGAGGATTAGTCTACCTTGGCAAAGACCTTTCCATTGACTCAACTTGGTGTAGTTATCGTGATACCCATCAAACACATATCCATTTAGTGTTCAGCAGCTAGCAAGAAGCAGAACCAATGTTTGAACCACAGCCTTTGGCACCTTCCAAATTCAGTGCTCTCTTCTTTTTGTAAGTCGTCTTTACTTTTTATAAGAGTTCTTAAGCACTCAGACTGTACTAGGCTGGGCTTTTTGCAGCATCTCTCTAAATCCTAATGATGCTGCAGAACTGTTATATGTTTTACAGAAAGGAAATTGAGGTGCAGAGACTGCTATGCCCTGAGACTATCTCTTGAGTGCTATGGCTGGGCTTGGAACTTTTTTTAGACTCCAGAGTCTAAGTTCTTTCGACTAACTCTGAATCACCCAGCCTGCAGTTTGTCCTCAGTTTAAACCAGCCTCCACATCTCTGCCAAGTCAACTTTCTCAGACAAATATAATCACATCATTTCCCTCCAAAAAACTGTTTACGACTCTTCATTGCCTTCAGAATTAACTTCTAAGCTCAATAAGCTAGACCCTCCCAGCCTGACGCTATTCCTTCTCGGAGGCTCTCTCTGGCAGCCATGTTGGCCACCTTGCTGTTCCCTGGATTCTCCTTGTATGTCACCCTGGCATGCTTTCACCTAGTTTGGCTCCTCGCCTAGCATCCCTCTCACAGCCCAAGTCTGCCTTACCTCAAAGGCTCATTGGCCCAGCTCAGGGGTCATGGGAGGCCTGTCCAAGAGAAGGTCACATTTCCCTAAATTAGCACTTTTAAAATTGCTAATGTAGCACTTTCCAATTGTGTTTATATTTCTGGTTAGTGCCTGCAGCCTGGCTATTTTTTTCTAATGTGTGACCCCCTGCTAGACTGAACAGAAGCCTTGCCCTTTCCATCCCGTTTTCATCCTCAGGGGCTGACACTGCAGATGCGCAATAAGCAAATTTATTCATGGTCTATGGCAGTACCTAACAGTTAACTCCTAGAGTTGAGCCCTTTATGTGGAGAACCCCATAGGAGGTGCTGAGGAGAAGTACACAGGAAAAGAGATAAGCACACACATGCATTTTCTCATGAAAATTTATACATGCCTGAAATACACCTAGAAAGTAGCGATCAGCGTGAAAATTACTGAAGTACACACGTTAGTCTTGAGGTATAGGGATAAATGCTCCATTCAGAAGTTGAGTTTGAGCTGAGTGTAGAAGAGCAGATCACATGATGGGAATTCTTGCAACAGAGGCTTGACAGTGGCTTAGAGGGGCTAGGAGGTCAGCTGTGCCTTAGGGCCCTTGGGGTCAGAGCCACAGAGACAAGGGGGGAGCACTGGAGGGACAGCAGGGGAGCGGGGTCATGCCCCACTGAGGAGTGTCTGCTTTCTGAATTGTAGAAGAGTATCAGCTCCCTCGAAGACACATTCAAGGCCTAGAAAAAGCCCCCAAACCTGGCAAGAAGAAGTGACAGATTCTTTGTTTCATGCGGTGGATCCAGTGGAATTGCAAGCTCTGGGCTGGTAATTTTATGAGCATTTTCATCTTTTGCAAATACAACATGTAATTCTTTACAAAAATAAATTTTTATTCTAATCTAAATCTGCCTTCCCTCCTGTTTCTTCCGCTTAGCTAAAATGTTGTACTAACTTTCGAAGTCAAAAGCATTCTAAAGGGACAGAAGAGGCTCCGGTGGCGTGGCTTTTCCAAGGGAGCTTCAGTGGCTTAGTTCCTTTCCTGCTTTCAAGGCCTAGTCAAAGGTCAGGCAGGTGGGGCTTCCTGTTTTTAAAGCCCCTCCACTAAATACTCCACAGCTTCTTGCCCACCTGTTCCTAGTACCTAATTAAACTTCTAGCCCCAAAATAGATCCTTCTTCTGTCTAACCCAGCTGTTTTGTCATCAGTTAAAGCAACAGAAGAAAGAATTGACCCTACATTGCAACACAGTTTAGGCTAGATAGAAAAATAAACAATAAGAGCACAGTAGGGCACAGACTGCCAGTGACTGGTAAATTTGTGATGTTACTCAAAGGTGATAGCTTTGTTACAATGAAGAATCTTTTTCTTTTTTTTTTCTTTTTTTTTTGAGTTGGAGTCTCACTCTGACACCCAGACTGGAGTGCAGTGGCCGCTCCCGGCCACCGCAGCCTCACCTGCTGGGCTCCGGCGATCCTTCCGCCTCAGCCTTCCCAGTAGCTGGAATTACAGGCATGCACTACCATGCCCAGCTGATTTTTTGATTTATTGTAGAGATGAGGTCTCGCTGCCCAGGCGGGTCTCGAACCCGCGGGCTCAGGCAATTCACTCACCTCAACCTCCCAAAGGCGCAGGATTACAGGCTGAGCCACCGAGCCCGGCTACAATGAAGAATCTTATCAACAAATGCCCTCTTCACCCCCAACTTCTTTACTTGGGTGTCACAAAAGAGGTCCTTAGTTGGTCTCCAGAAGGTTCACGAACTCTCTGAAATGGTGCACAAGATTTTATATGCTAATTTGCCTAAGAGAGGAACCATGCTTTTGTCAAATTCCCAAAGGCTCACTTGATGCCAAAAAGGTTCAGAACCACTGCTCAGTTCATGGAAGTCATTGCTGTGACCAGAACTCTCCTTGTACAATAGGAGGGAGGACGAGCTGAGTTGCGTTCCTTGAGTTCTTGAGTTTTACTATCAAGAAACAATTACACTTCAACTTCCTTATTTCTTTCTCATCTCACTTTTTTCCAAACTGAGAAAAGAAAGGCTTAAAAAATATCCACAGTATCCACAAACTACCCATTTGAGGTTTGAAAAGGAAGAAAGGGATGTGTGAAAATGTATGTATGGTGCCTCCTACCTTTTGTTATCAGGCCCAGAATAGGCCCTTTCACTTGTAAGTACACAAATTTCACTAATCCTCTCTCTACTGGCATGAGAATATGGAACTGGAAAAGGGATTTCTAGAAATTGACCCCAAATGGGATCCTATTACAACAAAGCCTTTGACCAGCCAGAGCCTGATCAGCACAAGTATGATATCTATAGCAGTGATGAATTATGGTCCTTATATGAATACAAATAACTTGTAGTACTGTGCAAAGTTATTTCACAAACACGATTTGTTATGTACAATCATGGAGGGATTGGAGGTTCAGAGAGCTTGTGTCTTCCCTTGTTAATCCCTGCTAAGGACACAAGGCCAGTAAGTGGTGGGGCCAGCTCTAAAATGAACATCTCTTAAATGTGGTTTGACCCAGAATTCTGCCACGACACAGTGCTGTTGAGACCTTGCTTTGAATGGTTTTTCCAGTAACTGACACATTTGCATTGAGTCATCTTCCTTCTCCCCCTTGAGAACAACATAGGGACATGTAAGAAGGTGGAGTAGAGTTAGAAGGTGGGGTAATAGGTTCTTTTCTATGTGCTAAGCCAGATAATCTATATCGAGGTAAATGTATAACCTTGAGCTTTTTAACCCCATGAGTTTTAACCACAAGAGTGTCAATGAAAACAAGCAACTGATTTATTTCCAGGTTTTTGGCAACATCACTGGACGCTACACTTCTTGGGAGTCTAGGTGAACAAATGTTACACATGTGCCCATTCTTGGGTAGTTTTAGGAATGTCTGTTGGATATTCATACATTTTTTGGAGCCCATTCATGGCATTGTGTGGAAGGCATGCAAGAATTTCTTTTTAATAACTTTTACAGGGTAATTTTCATGATTTCTGAGATGTCCCTTTGATGGGAGTCTGAGAATGCTCAAGTTAAAGGACTGTTTTGGTCATCAAATCTAGCACTCTTCCTCCGGGTGAAATGATCTGAAACTTTCAAGCACATATTTCTATCTATCTTCTTTTTAAATAATTCCAGAAATAGAAGAATCACTGTCCACCTCAATCACCTGTCCTGGTGTTAATCACTCTTAGCTCCAGAAAGCTCCTCCTCTCTTCTAACTCACTATCTCCTTCTGAATAAGTCCCTTGACTCCAGCCCTGTGGAGATAAAGAATAGCTGGTCACCTCGGCAGTGCCCTCCAGCCCACACATTTGGACAGTTCTCTCCACTTGATTTGAACAGCAACCTTCATTCTTCTGCTCACTGGCAGATCGGACTGCCAAGAGGAGTGTGATCGTCTCTGTTCCCACCCTCTCTCTCTGACTCCCAGTTTCCATAAGGTGAGGAGGTTCAAGAAAGACGTTGCCTAGATGAGTCATTTTCACAACAAGCTTTTATTACTCTTTTTAAAACCCATATAAGAAAGACATTTAAAAGGAAAATATCCTCAGAACAAACACATATACGCTGAACAACACAACCATAGAAGGCACTACCAGCAGTTATACCCACCTCTGGGAGGGAAGGAATACTCTACAGATACTTTTTTCAGAGGCTTAGACCTCAGTGTAGATCCTGGGTCTCACTGTGCTTTAGATAAAGTCTGAATTTTCCCCTAATTTTCTCATTTCATAAACACCCTTATCTTTTTATATATAGCTATATGCCTTTATGTATGTACACACACACACACACACACACACACACACACACACACACACATATATATATATATGACTTGTTTTTTCCTTCTCAAAAATAAAATAGCCATCCCCATAGAGGGCGATTCTCAGCAGCATTCACAGCGGTTGCAGCGGGAGCCATGCCTTCTATTAACGTTAGAGACATGCAGGACGAAGGAAAATGACTCTCTACCTGCTCCCTTTGATATACAGCAGGGGAAGAGAGTTTTTAAGGAGGGGAGTGATAAGGCTGAGCATGAGATGGCAAATAACCACAATTTTGGGGGTTTAAAAAAATCTCAGAGTTGCGAGCTTATGTTGCTTTTGCAGCTCTGAAGACTACGCACAGTTCATAGGACAAGGGGTCAGCATTCCTTCTGGGATCAGGGACAGTGTGGACTCAGCCTGGGTCAGGGAGGGAACTTCTGAGGCTACATGAAGAAGCCTGGGCTCGAACCAACCCAAGAGGGACTTGGGAAGGCAGAGGACAGCAAAGAAATGGTTTCTCAGAGGCTAGATTGGGAAACCAGCTCTGCTTTGAAAATGACAAGTCCTTCTCCCTCTGCACTGGAGTGTCTTTGCAGTCCTGGCTACTTGCTGGGATTGTTTGGCTAATTGATTTTTCAGATTCAACCTAAACAAGAAGCCAGTACAAATGTAGAGTCAGGAATCTGATCCTCCCTGTCATCATGGTCTGCTGTCACTTCTTGGAAGTCAACACTCATCACCCAGATGGGAAGGAGGTCTGTGGCCCTCACCCACACAAGGAGTGAGGGCTTCCCTGGCACTGTCTCCCACACTGCTGTTGTCCACTTCACAGCAGGCGCGAGCCAGTGGCAGGGCTTCAGGCAAACCATGCTCTGCTCCTATCTCTCTCTGAAAACAAAAAGGCACTGAGGTCAACAGGGAGGCCAAGCCCATGGGCTCATGGAGCGAGTGCATGAGCAGCTGGCCGGTGCTTCAGAACAGAAAGGACTCCAAGTTGACCGAGTTGGAGGATCCCCCCTCTGTAATCAAGGCAACTCCTTGGGCAGCACCTGAAGATTCCAGAGTCCCAGTGGGAAGAGGGAGGCAGTGCTGGAGACCGAGGGGGGAACCCAGGCAGCCCAGGCCCTCCTCTGCTCTCTAGTTGGGGGAAGGCTGAAGATAGCTGGGAAGTGTTTCTCTGCATCACTTTTTGGCTTTCTCCATCTGCCTGATTTCTGTACTCAGCAGGAGACTTTTTAAATGGCACATGGCTGGTTTCCCTTGGTGGAAACACATGTCGAGGGTGGTGATATCAAATTCAAATTTGTAACTTAGAAAGTCTGCTGACAAAGATGTGACAAAGTACCACATGCACGCAGATATATGCCTTTGGGTTGATACGTGCACGGTCTCTTGGGCCATAAGGGCAATGGCCCTGGCAGGCTGCAGCTTCTCTGGAAATCTTTGAGCCCACCTTGGCTCTGGTGCACCTTACCCTGAGCATCGGGGCCAGTGGCTTTACGAACTCTCCCTTAAGCATGAGCAGCGGGCACTGTGGGGCAGTGGAGACAGTCCTTTTATGAGCATTATCCTGCCTTCAGGGGCTTAGCTCAGACCTACTGAAGGAATATGCTACAACTTTTCACTCATAAATAAAGGTGTTGTGGGTGGCAAATAAGAGAAACTGAAGAAGAATCAAAGCCAGAGAAAGAACGTAGCACTCTAAAACTTTTCTTCCTTCCTTTGCCGGCTGGTGTGAGAGGTTCCAGCTGGGTGACGAGAGGCAACTATTTGGTTTGTGAAAGGCTTGCAGACTGAGAGAGGCTGTTCATTTCACACGAGTTCTGATCCTTGGCAGAGTCTGTGGTGGGGCACAGCGTGGGGGCGGGCAGGAATGAACCCCTGCACAAACACTTGTCCATGGAGGAGACTCTGTGCCACAGCTGGGTGAGCACAGACGCACCCGCCAGAGGTGTCCTGAGAAAAAGTGTCTATTGCAAAATAATAATAATAACAATAAATCTGAGCACATTGGGAGGAGAGGAAGCAGGACCGGTTACCCAGGTTTGCCCTGGGATTCTCTTAAGGCCTCCTCTAGTTTCTGCCTAAACTTGTCATACTTCTTCTGTACTTGTTGGATTTTGTCCTGCTCTTCTTTTTCCAGGATTGTTAGGAAGTTCTGGAGTTCAGGGATGGAGAAGGCGTCCCACTGTGAGGCGATTGGTGGGGAGAAACAGAAGAGGATAAGGGTTAGAGGTTGACATGACCCAAGGGGTCCTGCTGCTTCCTCCTTCCCACAGTTCACACCGTGATTCACACCAGTTTGCTACCGAATAGGCATGAAGCTTGGCTTTTACATGCCTGTCATACCAGCAATGAGATTTCAAATCTTGGCATCTCGTGACCAGAAATTGCCAGTCCACGAACCATGTATTTGCTTAAAGAATCAACAATCTTAAAGCCTCTGTGCAGCAGCTGAGATCTTGACAGCGATACTTGACCCTCCCAGCATGCAGACCCTCGAGAGCAGGGGGAAGAGAGTGGGACTGGGACTCAGAAGACTAGTTTGAGCCTGACTTCATCTCTTGCCAGTCATGTGATCTTGAGTATCACCCCACCCTTCTCAGCCTGCTTTCTCATCTGCCATGGACTTGGGGTATCAACTTCCCATAGTTGGCAGAGCAGATCGTGCTGGTCAACTCAGGCCTGTCTGGAAGGGACCTGGCCTGTCAGGGCAGAAGGCAAGTCTGACTCCTCTCAGGCTGAAGCAGAGGCCCCACAGGGCCAATGATGAAGACTCCTAAGCTCTCTGAGCACAAGAGTATTAAGGTTTATCTCATTTATGCCCCACACTGGATAAAGGAGAAACCTGAGCTCCATAGAGGGAAGTTGGCATTATCACGATCACAGAGCTTGTGGCAGCAGAAATGGAACTAGAACCCAGGTCTCTTGATGTAGGCCCATGGGGCTTTCCACAGGGCCTGTAGTGTTCACACACTTGCAGTGTAATATTTTTCCAAAAGTGATCTACAGATGCCAATAGATAAAGCAGATGAAAGCAGAGCTGCCTGGCTGAAGTGGGGAGAAGGGACAGTCCCACTTGCCTAGATCCTCCAAATTGCCATAGCAACCCCTAAGGCTGCTCCCCATGACTCTAGGCCTCCACCTAACACAATGTGACAAACACTGAGACCCTCTCCTGCTCTCAGTCACTCCTCTCAGGCCACGGGAAGCAGACCGGTTTCACTGCAGCTTACACAACAAGAATGGATGCCAGTTAGCTTCCCTTGGGGGAAAGAAACCAATATTTAAGAATAAGGAAGAGAAAAATTGCCCAAAAGTATCTATACCCAGTAGAGCCCAGAGTTTGTTGGGCCTCTGCCCATCCTAGAGCAAAATCAGCCTGGGCCTGAACAAAGTGAGTCTCTCAGTCCTCTCCACCCTGAGTTTTCAGAAATAAAGCACATCAAATCCTTTCTTTCTCAGGCCTTGCCAGACACAGGCCCTGACTTGTTCTCCTGGGGTGCGCACAATCCCAGCTGAAACACTGAACCTTGGGCCCAGCACTCACCCCCACCCAACTTTCTCAGCAGTCTTCCTCCCGTCCCACTGCGTGGGCCCCACACCCCACCAATGCCCACCTGCGCCCACCCAGGGCACCCTGAGGACCAGGTTTATGCCATGTGTGCAGACCTACCTCCACCTCTCCAGTTTCATTCTCCTTTAGCACAAAGCTGAGGACCTCAGGGTCAGGCCCGGCCAGGAGGCGCAGGTAGAGGGGGCAGTCAGCAATGGAGAGTTTCTGGAAGAGCACTGTGAACCAAGAAGGGGGATGGGGAGCTCATCTTGGAAAAGAAGGACGGGGCCTGTGCTGGGGACAGGATTGGAAACGCAGGGGGGCACTTATAACTAGAAGTGGACATTCGGCCCTTTCAGCTTAATGAAATGAACCCATGAGAGTCAGTAGGGTCATCGCCTTCTATCTTGGATGTCTGCTCAGAGTTTAAAGCCGTTTCCGTTCACATCACCTCCCAAATGATTAGGAATGGTGGGGCAGATTCCTCCCATTACACAGATTAGGAAATGGGAGGCCGGGGTGCGGATTTCCTGAAGTCACATGCAGAGTTAGGGGCACGGTGGGTGGGTGTGAGCTGCCCTGCCAGGCCCTCTGCTCTTGCCTTCCTGCCCGAACTCTGTGTGTGGCTTTTCCACAGATCTGAATGTCATGTGGATAGCTGGGTCCCTAGTACACAGGAGAAGCCCACTGCTCCCATCTAAGCCTGGCAGGGGCATCAGTGGATGGGCATGTCAGAGGTGGGGTACATAGCTTCTGGTTGGGTATGTTCTCTCTCCTACCTTGTCCGTCCTTGTGGATCCGCTTAAAAAGTGCAAACTTCTGGGGATTGTCCACGACCATGAACTTCTTGAGCAGCCCCTGGATGACCTCACTGACCGTGGTGGTGCTGCTGATGTGGAGCTGTTTGATGGCATCGAGTGGCAGGTAGAAGGACGTCCGCTTGTCTGTGGTGGCTGCCAGGTTCACCTCCTTGATGGCGTCATAGATGGACTGGGGCCGGATCCCAGCAGGCACGGTCACCGGCCGCCGCAGTTTCAAATGCACTTTGATGAAACCTGTGTAGGTGCCATCTTCACTCTGCAGGGCGTTGGGGTGGGGTGTCATAAGGGGTCAGGGCTGACCATCTTGTGTGCTCATATCTGTCACTCTGGGCCATTGTCCCAGGCAGCACCCATCTGTCTCTCTGAGTTCCTTCTTGCTTCTGCTGACCTGGAGATACCTTCTGCCCTGCCAGTGAGCCAGGAGAAGGCCCACAGTATCTGGCTACCAGAGACAACTTGTGGGGCTGCGGTGGCTTTCTCTCCTGGGTCTCGAGTCGACCGCCCCAAACCTCCTGCCAGGCAGACATCAATTGCCTTTGGTGAGTCCCCACTCTAAGAGGCAGGTCTGGAGTGGCTTCTCTAGTTTATACCTCTGAACCAGGCAAGAGCAAGAAGGCTCTATAATAAGGCCCTTGGAGAACCAGCCCACTGGATTTCCTCCTGCATCTCTTTACAAAGAACGTGCAGCCTTTAAGACTTAAATCCGGGCCCATTTGCCACTGGATTTTTCTGGTGCTCCATCTGGCTGAAGCTCCAAAGAGCCAGTTGCTGTAGTCACCAGCAGGGGGCAGGGTTTGTCTACCATCTCCCCTCCCCATTGAAGACGGCCTTCTCAACCAGCGTTAAGTTGGGTGCCCTCCCTTCTCTGAACATTGCATGGGGGTAGGGAGGGGAGCTGTGAACTCCCCTTGTCAAGGGCTCCCTGGGGGCCAAGCAATAATAACAGGCCCTTGGTCATAGTATATCATTCAGTCTCTTAATTTACACTGAAGCTCAGAGCAGTTAAGAAAGTTTCCCAAAGTCACGAGCGAAAAAACCAGAAAGGCTGGAGGCAGGATATGGCTCTATCTTATTCTAAAGCCCACTCTATTAATATTTCTCTAAAGCACATGGAGGCCACTGACAGCCCAGGCTACAGCTTTCCATGACCCCTGAGGGACCGCTGGGGAGAGCAGAGGAGCCAACACCCCCAAAGGGGGTCGTGTAGTGGGTGCTGGGCAGAGGGTGGGTGCCCCACTCACCAGCTTCATGCCCAGACAGTTCTTCTCCCGTGTGTTGTAGCTGTCAATCTTCTGCTTGATCTCCTGCAGTGTGGGCGGGCGCCGCGTCTCCTCCACAGGTTTACAGACATTCTGGAACAGACATAGAAGTGGGGGTGGGCATGCAGTCGTTCTCAGGATGAGATAGGGAAACACCACACCCTCCCAAACGCCTCTCTGACCAAGAAGTGAGCACCAGCCCCGCAGAGTGAAACTAATTACATGGACTCAGAGCAAGACATTAAAAGGTCAAATCCCAGCTGTGCCATTTTCCAGCCAGCCACCCCTGGAGAAGAAACTCAAATCTCTCTAAGTCTCACTCTCTCCACCTGTGAAATGGGAAGAACACCAGTATGAAAGTACCTGGCACTGCCTATACATCTGGTGAGTGAGCAGAGCTGCATTTGTTTGTGGTGGGTTGCTATGGAAACGATGCCTTTTAGATGCTATGGAAGATGCAAAAAACACAAGCCACGGTCCATCTTCTCAAAGAAGTAACAATAGAGCTGGAGGGACAGGCATGTACATGTGGTGCCAGCAGATGCTGACGGGACAGACAAGAAGTTTCCGAAACCCAAAGGACCCCTTAGGGACACATGGATACCAGTTCAGGCCCCATGTTACTGGCCACAGTGCTTTGCACACAAGAAGTAAATATCAATCTATCAAATGGACGAGTGAGCACCAGGGATGAGGGGGCGGTAGCCCTCTTTGACAGCTGAGGAGATAAACTTTCTCTACTGGGGATATCAACAACCAGCTTTTACTCAGCACCGCCACTATGCCAAGTACTTGGCATACATTATCTCATTTAATTCGCACAGGCCAAAACTCTATAAGACAGTTTATTGCCCTCATTTACGGGTGAGCCTATTGAGACCAGGACAAGTTTAACAACTTGCCTAATGCCCTACGGTCGGTATGTACAGAGCCAAACAGCAATTCCAGGTCTGCCCTGTCATGTTCTTCTCACCACATCAGGATTCCTTCTTCTCATATGTCCCTGATGTCCTCTTGCCCCCACCTCCGGGAAGGGTAGGGGGAGGAAGAAGTTGAGTTGGAGGTCAAGGTCCCTCACACTATGGAGGGAATACAGGGTTTTCAGCAACTCTGTCCCTCAGCCAGTTTTCTGGATTTCTCTCAAGTTCACTGTCACCCACTCCTGTGTTTAGTCTTCACACTGTCTCTGTGTAGCTGAGAGTGCTGGAACAGGTTAGTTAAAACCCATCCAGCATTTGCCAGATATTAGAAATCTAGTAGACTCAGGGGGAATCAGTATTCTCCTCTGGCAAATCAGGAAACTGAGGCCCAGATAGAGATGACTCTGACACCACCCAACACCGCCCTGTGGGTTTCTGGGTCTGGCTGGAGAATTTCACAGCTGCCCGGACATCACAAGACCAGCCAGTGGAACACAACGGGGCACCCACAACAGAGCTCTACCCCGACCTTCCTCCCTTCAGCAAGCCTGTTGGGGAGTCACGTCACACTGAATACCATGCCTTCACTTCCTCCTCCCACCTTCCAGTCCCACAGAACCAACACGACATCAGGCTCTGGCTGCCAAGAGGAGCTGGCATGGCCAAGCCTGTGTGTGACTTCAGTCTCCCACCTCCCACTCTCAGCACAGAGGAGAGTGGCATCCTCTTTCCATCATGGCATCTTGGCCTGGCCTGCTGCTCCCTCTGTTCTCCTCCCCAGGGCTCCTGATTTCTGGTGCTGGGTACTTTCACATGCCTTCTCTTATGTACTATGTATGCTATTCCTATTTTACAGACACAGAACTAAGGCTCAGAGAGGTTAAGACATGTGCCCAAGGTCCCACTGCTATAAATGGCAGAGTAGGGCCTGGAACCAAGGCCTCCTAAGGCCCGTGCTTTTCTCAATTCTTCTGCTGAGAGGGGCTGGCCATTCTCCCACAGGGATCACAAACTCCGCTGCAGGGTTGGGGGAGCAGCTGCTAAGCCAAGGCCTATCAAGTACCTGACTTGTGAAGTGTTCATCCAAGATGCATCTGCTCAGTGGGCCAGGGCCCAGAGGCACCATGTCACCTGTGAAGATGGCAAGGAGGAACCTCTAACCTTGGGAGCGAGATGCAGCCTCCAGGAGGCAGGGCCCACCTTTCTCCTGTGTGCCTCCTCAGGTCTCTGAAACTGAACCTTGATTCTATAGATCACCAAGGGGAGCAGCCCCTGGACATCTCCTGTTTGCCTGAGTAGTGAGTGGTGTGAGCCTCACAGACTGTTTATTCACTGTCAGTCCATTAACCCAGAGATCACCAGAATGAAGCCTCTCTTTCCTCATCCTTTCCTTGGGTAGCTCCTGGAGTTCTCCACCCTCAGTCCCCACCAACTGGGCAAATCTTTAGGGAGCCAGGTGGGCCTGGGCCTGGCCCTGCCTTCCCTCTGTTTGTCTCACATAGGCTGTCACTTCTCAGGAGTTAATAGCTTTCTCATACTCATCTACAAAAGAGTTAAATGAGGAAAGAAAACTCTAGAAGCTCCTGGAAGATCTCTCATAGTTTCCAACCGAGCTACAGTCATTCCCCTGTTAGAAAAGGCAGCAGTGTCATAGCTTTCAAAGGCCTGGTCAGAGCATGAGTCAGAGTTGCCTTAGCCACGGTTTCTTCTTCTTCCTGTTCTCCTTTTCTTCAACAGATAAACCCATCTATTCTCTCCCTTTCCTACCACAAACCTGGGGAAGTGACGCAAATGGCCACAGGGCACCTTTGCCTTCCAGGACTGACGCAGAGGACAGCAGCCCTGATCTCACCATGTGGAGGTCTAGCCCTCTGGGTGGTGGTGGGGAGCCCCATCTGGGGGTGCCAGGAGCCCCATGTGTGGCCAACACTATGAATCTCACAGCCCTGGAATGTCAGCTCCCCGGTCTGGGATGTCTGCTGCCCACAACACATCGGGCAGACAAGATCAGACCCACAGACTGAATGAGTCACCTCTCAAAGTAGGCCAGCCAGCCGCCACAGCTTTGAGGACCACTGAGCCCTTTCCACCCGAGAGAGGGTACAGGATCTAGACCAGTGGTTCTTAAACTTGCCTGAACAGTGGAATCATCTGGGAGATCTTTAGAGACACGGCTGCTTTATCTCTGGAGATTCTGATTTAATTGACCTGGAGGGCAGCCTGGGCATAGGAATTTTAAAAATCTCGTAGTTAATTCTGGTGTGCGGCAACATTTGCAAAGACCTCTCACAGCAATTCCAGACATGAAGGGCCCCCATCTAGCTTCAGAGTTAACACTGTGGCACAAACAGATCACACTACCCCAAAAGTTTACCTAAAAGGTTGTATCTGTTGTGTGAACAAGATCAGTACATATGGTGATTTTTTTTTTTTTTTTGGTAAAGGTTTCACTCTGTCACCCATACTGGAGTGCAGTGGCACGATCAGGGTCACCACAGCCTCAACCTCCTGTGCTCAGGTGATCCTTCCATCTCAGCCTCCCTAGTAGCTAAGACTATAGGCGCACACCACCATGTCTGGCTAATTTTTTTTTTTTTGTAGAGATGAAGTTTCATTATGTTGCCCAGGCCGGTCTTGAACTCCTGGGCTCAAGTGATCCTCCTGCCTTGACCGGCCTATAGTAATAATCTTCAAAGACTACAATTTCTATTTACCTGCCAGATTCTCAAGTCCTCAAAGTGAAAGATTTGCCTCTGTCCGTGGGTACAAAGCTAGAAACCAAACAGACAGAGTTTGGTCTTGTGGGGTGGCAGAAGATAGAGACAGAATGGGGAATTCTGTTATGATTTAACAAATATAGACATTGGCCTGTGATGTGTCTCTCCTGGGGGGTTTACACATCTCAGTGCATCTGGCGTGGAATTCATCTGCTCTGATTAAGCCCCTGGCATTGGTGGCAGATGGCTGAGCTGTTCCCAATGCACCCGGCACGTCCAAGGCACTGGTGAAAAATAGGTTTGTGCTCACATGTGCTAAGCCAGGGAAGGTGCTGTGTCCTTCTTCAGTTCTTGAGGTTACTGGGGTACAGCCAAATGAAGAGGTAGAGTCTAGGAGTCAGAGCAGAGAGGCCCCTCCCCCAAATGATTCCCTAATGTCTTCATTAAAATATTCTTAACAAAACGAGGACCACAGCCCTGTAGTCTCAGAGCAGGTTTGCCCTAATTTAAGTTTTTCTTTATTTTATCTTTAAAACAACAGCAAAACACTGGCTAATTCTGCATTCTAATCAATGACATATGTGAAGTCTTGATTTTGATCATGGGGGAGTGACCCAACGTCCTGAGACAGAACGGCTCTGAGTGAGTTGCATGGCTTTGAGTATCCCCACGTGGGCCCAGGACAACTCAGGAATGCTGCCACATGAGAGGGACACCCCAGGGTGAGGCATGGGCTGAGTAGAATGTGTGATCCACCCTCAGCACTGCAGCCATCATATATATTCATGCTCATTTTTTTTTTTTTGACCTAAATCACACAGACATTATTTTTGCTAAATATTCATTCTCCCTTTTTAAAAACTGGTCAGTCTCATTTCCTTTCATCCTATCACTCCTGTCTTCCATCTGCAGTTTCATTTGTCAAGGCCTCTCTGACCACTCCAGTCCTGAAAGACGACAGTAATAATGATGATGGTGATAGAGAAGAATATTCTTCGCTACAGCTAATTGTGTGCCATGCACGATTTGACTCACTCGGCATATATTAGCTCAATTCATCCTCACAGCAAATTTATGATGTAAAAATATGCGTATAATACCCATTTTACAGTAGAGAAAACTCAGGCACAGTAAGATTAAAGCTGACCTACATCTAAAGCTAATACGATACTATCTGGCACATACACAGCATCTACTTATATTAACCTCCAAGTAGACCATTTATCTCAGTTTTTTTCCCCAGCTAGACTGAAGCTCTTTAATAACTTACAGCATACTTCTATTTCTTCTCTATGACTAGAGGCACGTGTATAAGGCAGATAGTAATTATCTGCTTAAGAATCTTCAGTGGTTCCCCCATTTCCTACAGTGGCCAAAAAAGGTTTTCTCTCCTAGGAATCACCATGCAGTGAGCTTTGAATTTCAATTAGACAGAGCTCTGTGAGAGAATCGCACA